ATATGCATTATGACATCCCATTCAATCAGCCAAATCATATTCGTGTGAGAATTTGGTCAAGGCACAAAAATCGAGTAAAATACCAATATTTATTTGTGCTCGAACCATAGGTTCATATACAGGGTGTCCCATTTTGGTTGTACGGTGATTGTCTATATTTTGTACCCACACCTATCCCACCTGTTTGAAGAGGAGATACTCAGAAATGTCAAATGGGAAAGTTGTAGGTAATATCAGAAACTTCGCAATAAAGTTAGTTACAAGTATGCATCAGGGTGTGTCACAAAACTCACAAAAGTGTTGCAAAGTAAAGGTAAGCTTTTTTAAATGGAACACCTCGTATATTATTGACCTATTGGATTAGCCTTTCAAGCCTGATTCCAAATATACTGGGTTTTTTAGATTTATTCCTCATAGTCCGACCTCCGAAAATCCGATTTTGAAGAGATAATATGGATTTTTTACTTGAATGATTATCTTTATATTTTAATGGTGGTCTCTATACTTCACCTTTTTTAATAAAAATGCAATTATTCCACCCCTTTTTTTCTTATTTTCTCCCGGACTACTAGGAATAACCCTAAAAGGTTTGAAAGGCTAATCACCCGGTACATAAGGAATAAAGCGTAGTTCATATATAGATGCGAATCACGAATTGCGAATTGCGGAGGCCGCTCCTATTGGTCAGTCCACTGTCAAGAAAAGGGACATCTGTCAGAGTTCAATATTTTGCGAATTCGCAAAGTTTGAAATTTAGGAGGCGGGAAAATTGGAACTGGTTCAATATTTTGCGATATTCGTTGCGGATTTTATGCCGGCGCATGCGTATTTCAAAAATGCTGTTGTCAGCTGCTCCTTCAGTTGTTTTGTTTACATTTTGGCTTTGGCCATTTCATTATTTTTATTTAGGATTCTTTGATTCTGTCTAGTCTTTGTAATTCTTGTCGTTTAGATTTCTGTGATTTGCTGTGTGTTTTCTTTATTGTTTATTGCAATATTTTCTCTCAGTCTCATTTATTTGACTAAATTATAATATTATGCTCCTTGCGATTCTATTTAGGCACCTAAATTTCTTTCTTGCAAATTCCAACAAACAATAAGAAACAACAAAAACAATTATTCAAGGTTATAACCAAAGAAAACATGTAAATATTAGTTTCAACACTCCAGTGTGGCACCGAAAAATAAAGTAAATATTAACAGAATGATTGCGAAGTTCGCATCTAATGAAAGGGCTGAAAAACGCCGATTTTTTTTCAACGAAATTCGGATTCACAATTCGTGATTCGCATCTATATGAACTACGCTTGCTATTGGAGGTGGAAGGACGCGGATTTCGCGAATTCTGGCTACTTTTTTGTCAAACGAAAGATGGCGCCGACGGAATTGTCATCGCCCTTTCGGTTTTTTTCAGATACAAGGTGTTTTTGAAAAATTTGCATTTTGGGACACACCTTGTAAATATCTCGGTTCTCTCATAAGTGATCGAAAAGGTGAAAACGGATTCTTATAGATATTTTTACGTAGACTACAGTGGCGTAGTCAGTTTTTTGGTAAAAGTGATAGTTTTTGATTTATGAACGAAACATAGTGCTTTTGCTAATTTCAATGATACAAAATTTATCTCTAACAGTTTTCGAGCAAAATATATTTTTAAATGTTTTTGTCATAAGAAACAATGTGTTACAAAGAGACCTTTCTCATTTTCCGGACAGATGCAATGTTCTTTTCTGACACATTTTTTCTTATGACAAAAACAGACATGATAGGAATACACCTATCGAACTTTATATCATTGAAATCCGCAAAAGCAGAGCTATCCAATTAATATACAGAGTGTCTCATTTGAAAACATGTACTAATGTTTGGTTGATAATTCAAAAACTATCACTTCGAGTAAAAATATCTATAAGAATCCGGTGTCACCTTTTCAATCACTTATGAGAGAACCAAGATAAAAGGGATTAAATAAACCAGAAGATCCATGACAATTCTGTTGGCGCCATCTTTCGTTTGACAAAAAAGTAGCCAAAGTTCGCGAAAACCGCATCCTTTTAACTACAATAACAACAGAGTTATTCCTTATGTACAAAAAAAAAAAATGGGAACACCGACACCCTGTACATGAACCTACGGTTCGAGCACACATAACTATTGGTATTTCTGTGCCTTGACCGAATACTCACACGAATATGATTTGGCTGATTGAATAGGAATAATAGGATGTCATCATGCATATCGGACATTCACACATTGAACAGCCTGTATCTCAAAAACTAGTCATAGGATTAAGTTGTGTCCAGGGTAGTTATTGATCATAAAGGTCAGATCTATAACATACTAAAATTTGGACCGCGGTTAGAAATCCCATAAGAAGTCTGCGGGGTCCTTTCATCATTTTAGTACTAAGAAGTAAGAACTAAAGAGCTTGAAATAAAAAACTCAAGAAACGGGCAGCTCCAATAGTTTCGCAGCTTCAAATTATTTTGATTTTGGTCTTGACCAAGGTAAGCACCAGAGCTGGGCAGTAGCTAGCTACCAAGTAGTTAAGCTACTAGCTTAGCTACTTTGAAAAAAAAAGTAGCTTGTAGCTGTAGCTTTTGGTAATGTGTTTCAAGTATTCATAGGCTACTGTGAAAAGTAGCTAGCTACTAAAACAAGCTACTTAAGCTACTTTTGGTAGATAGTTAATAGTTATTTAGGTATTAATGGCGGAAAGTGTCATCTACCGCCCGAGGGTGTGGTTAACGATACTAAACGCCCAAAATACTTATTACGTTTTATGCGCAGCGGACTCTTCTAGTTCAAAAATAAAATAACTATACCTATAATATAATGGCATCCATTCGACATTGTTTCCAAAAATAAACAGTTTCCCCTTATAAAGGCACGTTTCCACCAACCTATCGCCCGCGTGTGAATTTACCGCTCGATAAAAGTAACTTTATTATACTTTAATTGTTCAAGCTACAATTATCATTCTCCGGAAAATTCTTATCCTGCCTTGCTTAGACTAGTTTCTAGTTATCTCTGTAGGTACCTATGTTTTATGTGACCTATTTCATTCTCGCATTCGCAGATCATTGTGATCAAAGTGAACCTAATAAATTAATGTCCATTGGTTTTTGACAAAAATATGAATACTACTTCTTAGAGAAAGTTAATATGTTATTTTCGTATGATGATATTATGAAATTAAATTAGGTAAGGCATGTACCATCGTCACCAAAAGTAACTGGGACAGCATCACATTAGCTTTTGCCCTATTATTTGAACTTTATTGTCAAATATTTGTCAAACTATGAATTATATGCATTGAAATGAAATGACAGGAGAATTAGTCCAGGAGATTATTATGCATTATTTGTGTCCCAGATACTTTTGGTGACGATTGTACATTGATAAAAGTAGCTTAAATAGTAGCTTTCACTAATTCAAAATGTAGTGAAGTTACTAATAGCTTAGCTACTTTTTCAAAGAGGTAGTTGAGCTACTGAGTAACTTAGCTACTTACAATATAAAGTAGCTTGTAGCTTGTAGCTAGCTACTTTTTCCAAGTAGCTTGCCCAGCTCTGGTAAGCACTTGACAAAATCTTCCAGAAACCCATTTAAAACCATCTCAGTGGAGTCAGTAGAGTTTATTTCCATTAAGAAGTGGAAGAAACCATTAACAACCTGATTTTTCAACCTTACAACTTATAACAACAGTTTCTATAAATCGAAGGGGGTAGTCACTGTGAAAATCTTCTGTTCTAAGGGATGTAGATCTGGTGGAAATACGTGGAGATACGTAGAAATCCGATGGAAATACGTGGAGATCTATGGAGTTCCAAGATCTCCACAATACACTCAATAATTGGATGATGATCATTATATGGAAGGGTTGTTATCCTGCATCAAGAAGCATCTACGTATTTGAAGTTGTGATTAAAGTATTCGCAAATAAAATGGATACTTCAGTCCACCCGAAAGACTTAAACTGAGTAATTCTCTCCGAAGAAATAGAAATTTTGATAGAAACCCCAAGGAAGATAAACTGTATTCTTTATGCGTATAATAATATATCCTCTTTTCCATATTTCCCCTTGAATTTCAAAAGTCGCAAAATAAAACAAAAGTTTATACCCAAACAAATTGAGTATCGCTATTTAAGGACAATCATGAAAAAATTTGCAAGTTTCCTATTCTTCGAATCGTTTCATCTTCGATTTACTTGGTGAACAATTCTCTTCTACCAATAAGGTAATAACCGATAGGAGAGACCCGAATGGGGGGCGGTGTTAAACGTTCACACTCTATTGTTCTAACAAATGCCCATTGTTCTTGGTCAGCCTTTTAATATCGGACCGAGATCATCAAATAGCCTCCAGGTGTGGAGGAATTTGTTGTTGCGGCTCATCCAATTTCCGCCTAATCAGATTCGAATAATACTTCTACTCCGTGTTCTCACGTTTTGCGCGTTGAATCTCGTGAGGAGTTTTTTTTTTTAGGTGCAACATCTAAATCAACTTGTAACAAAAATCTACCTGCCAAAAGAACCATGACCGTTTTGTTGCTCTGTGGAGGATCATTAACATTTTTTAACGGTCTTCTTGGTTGTGCTCGGTTATCTTATCTTTGGAATCTATCAAGAAAGAGAGGTCCGGTCATAATTCCTAGTGCAAATGAAAGGTATCGAGATAGTCATCGGGATGTGAGGGCAGAAATGATTTACGTGGAGAAAACAAGTTTAAACATTTGTAGGAATGAAAATTCTATGTATGACGCAGTTACTTATGACTGACTCAGCCAAAGTGTGTAAATAAAAAAAAAACTAATTGCAAATAATTACTAAAATAAGTGTGTCGCAGTTACTGTTACAATGTAAAAATGCTTAAATCGGCATTTAAAAATAAATTTTTCAACATTACAAGTTGAGTAGTTTTTAGTTTACGCATACCTACACAAAGCAATAATAAATGCAACAAATAAACAAACAAATAAAAAAGACAAACACTCACTTTTTAGCGATTTGGGGTTACTCTGCTTACGTCTGGACATTGCTGACTGGCCTCCGAAAAAGCGATACAAAAAAAAATAAACAAAACAAACAAAAAAAAATCCAGTCACATGGCGCGCAAAAAACACAACATAAAAAAAAAGAAGCACAAAACACAAAACACAATAAGCGACAAAAAAATATTCAAATTAAACAAAATTCAATTTTTCGCGGGGGTTGTCGCGTCACAGTGTGACAAGTTCGCGAGTGTGACGGTAGAGGACGCGCGACAACCTTGCCCTGTTCGTGAGTTGTGACGGACTGGAGCTTTGTAGCGCGCTAGTGAGTCACACCGATTGTTGCTTTCCGGGCGCGTTGTTGCCACAATGTCTGTAAAATAGTTTTCCCTGATGCGTGCCATGGTTAAGGCCGAAACATTGGAAACTTTTAAAAACAACAAGGATGATTATTGGTGTTTTTAATTAGGTTGATTCTAAATGATGCCACATTGAACTATATGATGAATAAATAGATAGAGCAGTCAGCAATATTTCAGTTTGAAAACATCTCAAATTTCTTGATTCCAATCACCGTTCAATAGGCCATAAATAGTTCATATTTGGCTTCATCTCTTCTACTACTCTACAATTTACAAAGAATCTTTTTCACACAAGAGGTAATGATTTCGTTCGCATTTGTGCAATTTATATAAATTTGAGATAATTTTTTTTTTATTAGCATTAATTTCATGTCGTTTATGTAAATACATACTATATGTGAACAGAAGGTAACTGTTTATACAGGGTGTCCCCGTTCAACTGGTGAAAATGCTAGGGTATATAGAGGAACCATAGAGAATTAGTTTGAGATAGGACACCGATGGTCGGAAGTGCGTCGTTTCCAAAATACAGGGCGTTGAATTTTAAACAACCCCCTTTCAAATCATCTGGAGGGCTAATGCTAGGCTGTTCAAATTTTCAGGGATTATTGATGTGGGAATGATATTTAAAAATTCGTATAATACCTGGAACCAACCCAAAAAAATCAAAATTTGAAACCAATTGCTTTTTTTCTTCTATGTAGGTACCCTAGCATTTTTGACTATAGTTGAACGGAGTATGTTAAACTAATAGTATTTATGTAGAATTTACTGCTGAACCAGGAAACCAAGAAACTAAAAAATCTATCGGCATACGCAATTTCGTCCAAGTGTAAATCTCGATTGGGGCTTCAAAAAAACTTTATTGGGGCACCGAGCCCTAGAGCTTCGTTTTCGAGATAATCGGCTTTGAAGGTTTTCCAAAATTTGAGACAAGGTCTCAACTTTGAGACTCAATATCTCGAAAACTTTTTAAGATAAATGATTCAATTTTGTTCTTTTTCAAAGAGCGCTTAATTCTAATTAGGAATATATAAATATGCATTAGAATTTGTGAAATATTAGTTAGGGAATGAGCGATTTTGTGAGGCAATGTCGAATGATCAAAATTTTTCAGGGTCAAAAATGCAAAACTTTTTTGCATAATATGGCATATTTGCATGAAATTATACGTTAAATTTCACTTTATTGTGACTTGAAAAAAACTTAGAAATTATAAGTATAAGTAATTAGAGTAATGATAGAAGATTTCCTAACAACATCTGTCCAGCTCTTTTTTTTTTTTTTCAACTAAGGCCCGGTTTATTAATCTTTAGACGAACTTGCTAATAACTATCTGCAAGATGAATTGACCGTTCTGGTTCTATAACTGTATTAGTCGGCAGATAGGTCCGTCAGATTGCATGCCTGACAGTTTATCAGAAGGAGAATAAACCGGCCCTAAGAAAACCTCCAAGAGCTTGGAGTAAAAAAAAAATAAAGAAAATCCAAGAGCCTAGCGAATTCTATTGGAAGAGTTAGTGCGCACTTAGTGTATTTGTATTTATGTCTTTTTCTACCAGCTTGTATAAGAAAGAGATAAAAATATATTTTTTCTGCAGAGGTTCTACCAATAGAATTTGCTATGAGATTATTTACTGAAGCCATATCTTGCGAATTTGTGATGATCAACACGCAATTATTAGGGCCAGTCTCACAAACAGCGGTAACTCATCGTTAACCACAATACATTGATAACCCAGAATATATCTGTTTCTCAATGATGTTAAGTTGACATGTTCAATGTTACTCTTGTCACCAGTTGGTGTAGAGCTGATTCGCATGATTTACCTGGTCGGAAGGCATGTTGGTTTTGGTGATGAAGTGGCCTCTGTTTCAGTGAGATTTCCCTGATGTGCTTTTCAACTAGTTTCTTAGTCACCTTCAACATAAAGGACGATAAGCTGACCGGTCTGTATGACCTGGCCTGAGATGGTTCTCTGCCAGGTTTTGGGATAAAGACCGCTTTTACTCCTCTCCAGGACCCAGGAATATAGCCTGTTGGCAGGCTGGCTCTGCACAGTCTACAGAGGTGTGGTGCTACAAGGTCCACCGCCTCTTGTAGGAGTGCTGGTATTATTTCATCTGGTCCCGGTGATTTGAAGCTGTCAAATGAGCCTATTGGTCATTCTATGCTTCGCTTTTTTAGCAAGTTCCCAGTCCTCCTTTTTCGCTCCATTACGGAAAGCGGGCTTGACGGGTTTCTGCTCTCAGGGGTCACTTTGGTGGAGTCTGGAAAATGGGTTTGAAGAAGTAAACTTGATGTTTCTTCCCCATTTTTTGTGAAGTTTCCGTCAGGCTTTTCAATGGTTCCCGTCGGTTCTATCGGACTCTTGGTTAGAATTTTCTGGAAACGGGCTCTTTCGGAAGTGTTTTCAACTTCGCTGCAGAACTTCTTCCAGGATTCTATTTTTGCTTTCCGGATTTCTTTGTTGTGTTCCATTAGGGTTTGCTGATATGCTTCCCAATTTCCGCTTTTCTTTGCTTTATTAAAAAGCTTTCGTGTATTATTCCTGAGCATTTCGAAGTTTGCATTCCACCACTTTTGTTTGCGGGTGGTTTGCCTCGATTCTGCGCAGTTTTCATGATATAAAGTTTGGATGGCTTACTGCAATTGCAGGCATACCTCCTCTATATCTGTTCTTGTTTTAATTACCGTTTTAATGTTAGTTAGATTCAGTCTTAGGTCCTGTCGGTATTTATCCCAGTCAGTATTACGAGGGTTGCGATATACACGCTCTGGTTTATCAATATGTTTGATTTCCATTTGAATATACCTATGATCCGAGAGACTCGGTTCATCATCAACCCTCCAGTTACATATTTGAGACCTTATTCCGAGCGACGCCAGAGTAACATCAATACGTTCTTGCCTATTTTTTGTTAGAAAAGTCGGTTTAGTTCCCCGATTCAGAATGTTTAGGTTATTAGAAATAATGAATAATGAAGTCAAGTAAGTACTCATCATCATCCGTTCTTTATAAGTCTAAACCGGCCTTTAGTTTGATAACCAGGGTAGGTTAACCACCAATTGTAAAGCTAGACCTAAGTGTTTAGTGGAATTTGACACACAAATGAATAATTCTTTCCAAAAATGTTAGACAAGGAAAATGCGAATACGCCCAAGTAAGTTGTGTGTGACTCCGCCGTTACATTCCTGCCACGTAATTGAAACGTGTAAAATCTGTTTTTTTTTTTTAAGATAAAAGTCAAAATGACATTATGTTGGCAATGCAATGGAAAATTGTCAAGCTTTCAAATTTTTTATATAGAAAAGGCTTGTGTTGCCAAAATATATAGTTACTGAATTTTTGACTTGGGGAATTATCTTTAAAAAAAAAAGACTTTAAATGCGATGTAGCAATATGTATAAGTTCCGAAGTAGTAATTTTTACATTTTCAAAATGTTCTCAATTTTGGACGTTGGCAAATATAATGGGATCGTAAAAATAACATTGACGTCACTAGTAACTATAACTTCATAGTTGGGGAGCTGGCGTCAAAAACATGCAAGAGTTTTCGCAAGGCGGATATTTTCAAAATAGGTCGTACTTTAGTGTTAGAATGCTAGTGTACAGTCAGCACTCACAGTTCCGGGACAGCTGGCTCTGGGACACGGGCAAAGTTGTAATTTTAAGAAGCATCTAAACTGTTTTCTCAAAGCTCAAAATTAATAGAAATTTTGCACATTATCTGTTTGAAGGTCACAGATAACGTATGTAAATCGTCAGACGTCTAGTTCGTTGCAAAAAGGGGGTCAGACGTCCTCAAAGTTTTTATTTTATGGCATTTTCTTCGGTGTCCTGTCAAAATATATTTTTGCAGGTATTTGACAAATATATTTGAAGAAAATGCCATAAAATAAAAACTTTGAGGACGTCTGACCCCCTTTTTGCAACGAACTAGACGTCTGACGATTTACATACGTTATCTATGACCTTCAAACAGATAATGTGCAAAATTTCTATAAATTTTGAGCTTTGAGAAAACAGTTAAGATGCTTCTTAAAATTACAACTTTGCCCGCGTCCCAGAACCAGCTGTCCCGGAACTGTGAGTGCTGACTGTACACTAGCATTCTAGCACTAAAGTACGACCTATTTTGAAAATATCCGCCTTGCGAAAACTCTTGCATGTTTTTGGCGCCACCTCCTGGTCTATCACAGTTCCCAACAATAGTCGCTAGATCGTACCAACTACTGAAAATCCTACTTGGGACATCCATCATTGTCTAGTAAATCGTTATCTTTTGAAATTGGTCATTATGTCATATGTTCGAATTTTTCATCTTTGATGAAGTATCGTATCAGTCCGAAACAACACAATCAGAAGCATCTACAAAATCTAGATCCATTGGGCTGTAGGAAGTAGTATCAAAAGTCAATTATCTAAAATATAACTTCTTTACGACAAAAAGTTTCAAATGGAATTCAAAAGTAATGAAGTCCATATGCTGAGCACATATCAAGACATAGACCATACAATGAAATAGACTGACGATATCAGTGGCTCAGAATGAAGTTCGCTGGCAAGACGTTTTTATTTAAAGAAGGCCGATAACAGGCTGAAGAAAAAAAAAGATGAGTTCTTAGGGTGTTACATACTTTTGGGATTATTTATATTTACCGATCATCGACTAAAAAATTTCAGAATAACAGAAAAAAAAAAGAAGAACGAGGAGAAGAAGTCCATAAAGGCAGCAGATTAAATAAAGGATAATGACAACGAAGGAGGCAGCCCAGAAAGCAAAAGCGAACTACTGATTCTCCACACAGCTCAAATGTACGGGAGTCACAGACGATAACGGAAAGATGAATCTGGATGTTTTGGAAGCGATGATTTGAAATGAAATAAAGAATTTCCAATAAGGCGTCGGAAGGTAATTGAACAAA